TTGAGGCAAACTTTCATTTTGCCACCATTCTCAGTTTCTCAGTCTACTGAATAAGTTGTTCAGTAAATTCATTTTTAACATATTTGAAAATGAAAAAACAACAACAACAACAAAAAGACAAAAAAAATGGCCATGAATAAATATTTCCCTCACACTTCCCTGAAGCAGTGGCTTCGAATTGCTTTCTCTTTCTGAGTCAGTCTATTAATGCACAAGACAAATATACTGCCACTTTAGCTTAAAGATAACTTAAGCTACTATTATAGTAATAGCAGAGGATCAATTCTAGTTTTCTATGTATCACAGTTCATACCCTTTTATGATCTTACAAATGGGAGAAATGTAGGTGATACTTTTGGTTTAAAAATTTAATAAACACAATGTCTTACGCAAATTGGTTTTTAATCATTTGCAGAATAAAATAAATAAATTTAGTTTCAAGATGAAATTAAAATGTTTGCACAGGCTCCATCATAAATTTTAAGGTTCAATTTAAAATTTTAGGTAATAGCTTTCAGAGCTCATCATGGTCAGATGGTTTCCTATTTTTTTGAACTTTTAAATCCGTACGTAATTACTGTGTCTCTGAGGTCAACTGATTAATGCTGTTCATAGAACCTCAGTCCAGGTTAGAGACGGAGGGAAATTGTGCTTTTGAGATTGTAGCTCAAAAGCTATAAAACTTCCATTGGACTTATGATCTGTACTGATCACCCAGTCCCAGGGTCAACATTTGAAATTTAACCAGCAGTGAAAAATTACACTGGACAATTTACTAGAATGGGAGGAAAAAGAACGCAGGTAAAGACCAACACACTCTTAAACCCACACACAGACACATCTAAACGACTGTGGGTCAACAGCTACATCCTGACAGACTCTCACAGTTCAGTGGATGTGAACAAAGCGCGAGGTCTGTAGAGGCTTTAAACTGAGGGGCTGTGTTTAGTTGGTGCTGCCATGGGCGACGAACACGAATCTAAATGTCCCGAGCTCCAACTGGTCCTCTGCCAGTAACCTACTGGCCCTGCCCTTGTTACAGTGTCCAAAAACTGTTAAAACTTCATTCAAAAAATTCTTCATGTCTTTGCACTTCAACTATAAACTTTTGGACAGATAAACCTTTAGCTTTTATGTAGCATACAAAAACATGAGTTGCTTTTAAACACAGAAAATAGGTATGTCATGGTTAGCCAACTAATGCTTCAGCTTAACAACAGACACAAATTGATATTTTACATGTAGCTACATGCTTTTCCCCCTTTGTTGTTTTTTTTGTTTGTTTTTTTACAATTTTTCAGCTGGGCGCTTTCCCCCCCTCTCCGATGAAAGACACTAATCTCTATTTGCATTGTAAACCTCGGCTCACACAGCTTTTGTCAGCTGAGCTGAAGCCCATTCTGGTCAATAATATAAGATATCTGCTCTAATCATGCAGCTCATTTTAACAAGATTGTTCCACCACAGTTAGTCGTGTCTCTACAGCTGGCTTGTGAGCCACAACCTGAGGCTTAGCCTTACCCACTTATACCAGTTGCTGCATGCCTACACTTGATTACATTAAAGCATGGCTGTAACTTAAGTCTTAAGAGGTTTAGGGACCCATTTAATTTCATTATCGTCATTGTTATGGCCTTCAGCTGAGCATCAGAGACAACAAGTCTTTACAGGGGAAATGAGGAGGTAAATTTCTAGGTGAGATGTGGCATGGCTTTTTATTTTGCAAGCTCCTCCATTTTATGTTATTAAGTGGTTAATGCAAAAGCTAAGCTCTTACAGCAGATATAAACAAAGTCAAAGATACTTCCCTCTCACTTTGATCCCCAGTGCTAAGCTGTCAGCACATTAAAAACAATGATTCTGCTACATACACTGTAATAACAACCACAGCAGGCAGGTTCAGCAAGTCCTCACTGCAAGCCTTTCGGCCCCTCCCATCAATGTACACCTACCATTTAAAACAGACTGTTATGACATAATGGGCTGTTCAAATAAACCAGGTACAGTACAATTAATATAATGTAGTCAGGGAGGGATACGACTGTGCAACTGTTTCACAATACACCCTCTACTGCCACCATTTTTCTGCACGAGTAAACACTGACAAGCAAATGTTCTCAGCTTTGAGTTCCTTTGTAGAAGTCTGACAGAGCAAGATGGCCTTTTTTTATATAAACAAAGTTTTGGCCTTAAACTGTTAAATTACCTTAAGAAGTCATTTTAGTCCTTAAAACCAACCCTGTATAAAACAGCACCATGAAAACTGTTAGTCTGTGAGATGAGTTCAGCAATTTTTCCATGATGTCTACATATGAGGCGTTTTTGTTGACACACACCTAACCAAATATCCATAGGCTTGTTGGGTTTAGCAGAGAGAAAAAACAAAAGCGAAACAGTCATGCCTAATTTGAAGCATCTATGCACATGCAAGGTAGATACTTGACAAATTTCACTTAAAATTTGTCACTAGAAAACCCATTACAGATGAAAACTGATCTTCAGTAAAACTCCGTGGTAACAAAATTACATTTAGAGGCATCATTATGAGAAAGCTCAACTATGCTTTTCAGGGTACATTTACCAAATAACCAGTCTCACATATGGCAAATTGAATTACAGTTTACAGAGCTGTAATTTTAGCTGGTGGAACCACAACACAAAACATTCACCTCTTCCTAAGTGAATGGTTGTCTGCACTTTCACTGCAATTTGCATGCTCCTATAGAGACTCTCTCTGAAAATGCAAATCATTTTAAAAATACACTTGCATCCAATCTGGACAGGCGTGTGTTTTACCTTTCATATGAAACTGGCATATCATAATTCTGCTACCTTACACTCATGTATGAGGTGTGAATCAATTAGAATTATATTAGACAGGTGATCATTTGTAATCAGATACGTTGACTTCATGTGTACGCTAATAGGGCAAAGGGTTTTCTATTCTATGTAGACCCCCTCCATTTCATCTTGTGGGGCAATTTATCGTCATCATCAAAGTAGATTATGGTTAGGATAACAATTTGGCAAAAAAAAAAAGAAACAGTGGCTACTTTATGATTTGTGATGGTGGTAATTAACTGAAAGAGTGTAGGGTGAACAGAAGTTAACCAACTTGCAGAGAAGAATATTAAACACTCTTAAGAGGTAAAATAGTGTTCAGTGGAAAAAAGCTAATCAGATTTAACAGAAATGCATTATTAAAATTGATTAATGATGACCATTACCTCCACTGGCCTTTGACCTAACTGACGCACACACAACTGACACCACAGTTCGTTCATTCCTAGATGCATATTTCCGGACTTTTGATTTCTTCAGGACTGTTTGGATATTGCATCACACAGTCTCACAACGTATCACTGTATAACCATACTGTCATTATAGTGGTAGCATTGTAGGAGCTGCTCCATTCCTAACCTTACATCCCTGTAAAACACATCAAAGGTAATCAAAACATTTCTAAAACTCTCAACAAAAACCCAAAGTGCCTGCAGCAAAACAACACTACAAATCACACCACAGAATCGAGACAAACAGCAAACCTTTACAGTAAGGCAGCGCAGGGCCATTATATTACTTAGTGCAACCAACTGTGCAGCCCCAGAGGGACAAACAGGAAAGCCCCAGCAGAGTAGACTCCAGGTGGGGAGAGACAACTGACCGCATTACAGGCTCCACAGGGGAGAAGTGGCACTCGATCCACTTAGACTGGGACGGCGACATGCTGCTTGTTCTGGGAACTGTTTTGTAATTAACTGGGCAGGTTCAGGCAGTTGCCTGTTTTGCTTTCATCCTTGCATTAAAATCACTAAATGTCTATCTTTGCAAAGGCAAATTTTTCAGGGAGTTATTTGGCAACAAATAACAGGCGGTACAAAACAGAACATCTCCAGAATCATAAAAACTGTGTTCGAAACCAACACTTGAGACCAATTCAACCCCTGTTACACATGGAGTAGCAACAGCATAAAATAAATTATTCCCCTCATAAATGGGATACTGGGGAATGGTATCCGGAAGCTCAGCACAAACATAATCATCACAAATAATGACGAGGCACTTGTGTGTCTTTAAGGTTGAACAAGGAACACAGGCGAGCAGCTGAAGATGAGGATACCAAAAAAAGAAAAAACAGATATGAGAAACTATACTGCCATTATGAGTCATTTTTATAATTACTATGGATACGGACAGACTGGAGGGGAGAGAAAGAAATTGGTTTCCCCATTATGTCACTGTCAGTGCCACTTCACCATCTGGGTGTGAGCAGCCTTGCATGAAGCATGAATACAGCCGCCCACATCAAGTGCATGAAATTAGAGGTGAAGCAGCCTGTCCGTTTGGTGAATTCATTGGAACAGTACTGAATCGCTGAGAGCCGTGACTGAGCTGTCCACTGAATGTCTACAAACAAAGAGCAGACTTGACAGCATTATAGGCCCACTGCCCTTTTCCTTGGAACCTGACTGTCAGTGAAGCTCTTCTTTCATCGATCCACTGTCTCTGCAGGAGGCTTTGATGAGAGGCCAGACCGTTGGACGAAGACAGGCCGACTGGCTCTCTCCCACCTTCTCCATCTGTCTCCTTTTCTATGATAGAGAGAGCCGCTGCAAAAAGATTGTCACTCCTCCCAGCATGCACGCTACAGAGGATGGCCCGTGAATGTGTGCGCGCGTGCGCGTACCTGTGCAATGGGCGTGATGCTTTATGTTTGTGATATAGACCCCAACACAAAACCTGCTCATTCAAACTGAGGTGAGAAACAATTGCGCCGCAAATATGTCCTGAAAGCCGGTAACAGCAACGTCACGACGCCAAAATATAACGACGCGGAATATTTTCCAGGTCAAAGAGTGTTTGGCGAACACAAGATGATGCTGATGACTTGCAGGTGTTTGCTAGGCCCGCTGCACTGACTGACAGGTGGCACCGGGCAATTAATGTTGCTACGCATTTGGGAGTTAATGGAAACATTTAAATAGTCTTTAGCGCCTTACCTCAATGCCACACGGACAGAGCTTTCATCCTGTCCCGTTGTCATGATTCCTTATGCAATAGCAGGTAGAAGAAAAAATAATAATACAGCGGATTTATCTGCGTTGGCTACTAGCCCCGGCAAAAAAAAAGGAGTGCGCACTATACTCCCGCTGGCGAGCGGATCACCTCGACTTCAGCGCCGCCATTAAAAAAAACAAATAAAACCCACAACAACCTATCTTAACGGTGTTTTAATCATGATATCAGGGAAGAGCCGCGGTGTTGTGCCCGCGTGCTGCGTCTACGTACGCTGCATCTCTGCGCAACTTGGCCCTGATGCTCCGACTCGAGCCCGTCTGCACACTGCCACTCCGGCCGCTGGTGAGCCAATGGCGCGCGCGTACGCGTTCAGTGGTTCAAACACACTCGCATATGCGCGCGCCCCTTCCGTGCCTCGCCGTTCCTCTCCCCGCTCCGTTTAGACACTGGGAGGGATCCGCAGTGCGTCAGCAAGCCACGCCCTCTCCGGGGAGTGAGGCGATAGTAAGAATCACTGTATTATTTTCCCCCCCAATATATTGGAGGAGTACCAAAATCTGCATTTCCACATTAATACAAAGCGCTCGTGACACAGTCCAGAAATAATCTGTAGCCCAAAATGTACATTTTCCAGACAGTTATCATCGTTTTATGATAGAAAATGTTGGGACAATATTAATTTAATTTTAAAACATTTTTTTCTGTGTGTCTTAGAGAAATCACAGCACCATGAACCGCTTTACAGCATCAGCCATTTGGCTTTCAGGCATGAAGTCATGTCAGCAACGGCAGAGAATCTACCAGCAGCCTTCTGATAGCAGTAACCTTGGACTACCACAAGCTTCTTTTACACAAATGAAAGTTTCCATAGCTTAGCAGGTAGATAGTTGGACTTTCATGTGACTATAAAAGATGGGCAAACACGAGTCTCTATAAGAAATCCTAAATGACATCAGTACATATTTCGAATTCAATTTAATACCATATCAAAACTTTGTTTCAAGCAATTTTAGGCATTCAAATTACCAAATAAATAAAAGACAATATTCTATTGTTTATTATTTAATATACTCTGTAATTGTTCCACTTTTAAAAAAAACAAACAAACAATCATTTAGTTTACAGATAACAAATATATGAATCCATGTTCCCAGTAGCAATATATAAAAAAAGTCACTAAAATTGCACTGGTAGATAATCTATTTTTTAAGCTCACATATAAAATAAAGGGTTTTTGTTGTTTTTTTTGTTTTATTTTGTTTTTCTTTTGCTCCCTGCTAACGTTCATTGCGACTATTTATTCTCTTTAGTTGTTTTTTACTGCCATCTTGTGGATTGGATAATCACAGTGCCACACGAAGGAACTGCAGGGGCCAACACTGCATTTATGTTTCTTAGAAAGAGTGGAACACATCTGGTCACAATGGAAATCAAATCCTACGATTGCACAGAAAAAAACTGACCTGATGTGTAATTTGCTACCCTTCTCTAATATAAACATAACCTGACGTCTACAGAGGCAAAACTGTGACTCCGCAAACCTTAAGACCAGGTCAGGATTCGATATCCCGTGGCTGCATTGTTAGATTTTTGATCATATGCAAGTCTTTTTGTCATACATTTTTATTTTTTCTACAGTGTCAGATTGTTTACAAAAACTCATCCTAATGAAAATAATGCCACCTTCCCACCCCACAAACACCTGTAAAAGTATTATATAGTTACTCTATTACATATTTTATATTTATATTTTTACAAGTTCTTTAATTGAAATAAACTTCCCATCTTACATCTAACATGTTCTAGTTTTTATCCCTTTCTCATGCCATAATGAAAAATTGTCTTTACCCAACCAAAATCTGGATTGTTCCAAATGTTTTAGTTTACTTGGGATAAGTGAAGACTTTTAACACAAGCCAATTAAATACAAAACATCCTGAATGTTCATCACCAGGTTTGCCACAAAACAGAAATGACCCAGTGACTACTGATTTTTTCCATCAACTCAACATTTACCTGCAGTTTCAAGATCAGGGTCTCCTTGTGACCAAAAACACCAAAACACCATCCCAAACTTTGCATTAAGTATTTCACCTAAAAATGGGCTAGAAATCAACCACTGTAATTATGTTAAAAAATCATATGTGATTCTCCTTTGCCAACATTAAAGTGGCCTGAGATTTAAAACAGGAGTGCACACACACTTTAAAACTGACTGTGGGTGTCGGTTTAGTTCACTGGGATGAGCAGGGGACCATATGACATAATGCAACATGTACACTAATGTCAAATGGACTCTGAACAGTGCAAAGATCACTCACAACAGTAATAAAAACTATAAACTATATAAAACCGTACAAGAAACACATAAAAAGACTAAAACAGCTTTTCCCCACTCTCCCAAATTACACAGAGCACATTGATGTGGACATAGACAGTCAGAAGGATCTTTTATATTATTAGCTTTAACTATGTAGGTCCTCTAGAGTAGGTAGGGGGCATCCCATGGTTGGTTTTCTGGGCCAACCTCTGGAGCGCCTTGTTTTGTGCCACTGTACAATACTCTGTGGAGTAGCAGTAGGACACCAACAGCCTCTGGGAGATGTTCTTTCTCAGGATCTTTGGGAAAGTCTCTGTTATTCTTTGTTTCAGTGTTGTGAGCACTTCAACAATTTTTCATGCCGTCTTAGACTCTTAGAAATGATGTCATGTTACCATCTTCAATTACATTTGAGCAACACTCAAATGACCTTTTCACACAAAAACTGACTGACTTCACAGATCAGGGTCTTTTGACACAAGTTTATTTATCAAATATGACATTGGTGAAAAGAAAACAAAACACACATATATTGTAACTTTGCAAACAGTCAACTTTTCATATACAAAATGCTGATCATCTCACTTATCCATAAAATTCATTTATGGCCTTTTAACCTGAAATGCTTTCCCCTCGAAGCTGTCAAGATAATCAGCTCTGTTCACCCGAGGAAAAACTCTGTCTCATACAAAGGTGGTAGTGTCATGAGTCTATTCTTTTTTTCCCAGCACAGGAGGGAAATCCATTCATTTCAAACAAAAGCAGAATGGATCTGTAACTACAGATCACGTAGTTTTAGGTATCAAGCACTTTCATGTTTCCATGTGGAAGTTTTGTACAATTTCCAAATACATCTTAGCCTGTGCTTGATGTACAAAAAAAAAATAAGGCCGCATGAAAAATATTTAATGAGAAATCAATATTTGTAAATGCCAGCAGTGCCAATAAAGCAAACTGGTACTTATCAAAGTATCCCAGTGTAAAAAGGACATTCTGTACAAAAGCCCTCTGTGGGACGTTGTTCTTGATCACCATTATCTCAGCTGCAACAACAAAGATATGAAATTGAACATTTTGAACATCAAAAAGGCATTTTTCTTTGTACAGTAACATAACATCAAAGTTTGTAGCACTTTAATACCTCGATGCATTACTTACAGTTATATAGGCTATGGCACAGTCTGACTCCACGGCTCCATAGTTTGCTTGGCTGAATTCCAAATCATGCTAAAAAAACAACAACTTGCTATAGCAATCTGGCACGTAGGAAACATATATTTTATTTATCACTTTATTTTATTATTTATTGAAAAAATAAAAGACTTTAAAGTGCAAACTCGCCCACTTTCTAGTTGACAACAGAAACACGTGATTAGTATTTTTGACACCAGCCTTGATTGGAGGACTAACCCCAGGTTATTCCATGATTTCGAAAAGATGTGCAAATGTCCAAGTATGGCAGAAATCAGTGAAAGCAGTTTCACAGATCTTCAAATTCTCAAATCCTTATAATTTCACCACAATCAGATTTTTGCCCACATCTCGTTTTTGTAGTTTATAAAAGATGGATGGTCAGATGGAAATCACGCAACTTAATGGAATTAAATATGTGAGGGTAAACGATGAGTCAGCAACCAACTGTGTGGTTAAAATAACAACAAAACAACAACAAAAGGCTTGTTTCTAAAAGGTTTCTCTCCAAGAAAATGGAAATATTTCACTCATTTTCATTGTGGTCTGATCAGTTTGTAAAACAAGGATTTTCTGATCCCAGCAACACTGTCACAGATTAACTGTGCCCACAGCAATACTGCGTAGACACCAGTCAGTATTCCCTTTTTATTAGTGCATAAATGACAATGAGAAATAAGGAGGATATTCAAAAGTAAGAAATGCAAAGCAACACGATTTCCAGGTGAGATAAAGGCAGAACTAAAAAGAACTTTGAAAAAGTTGCTTAAATAAAAGAAAGCACCAGTTAAAGTCAACCCCAGAGGAGCTCTAGCCTGCGTTTGGTCCCATTCAATCACACCCACCAGAGGGAACCGTGAATACCTTTTCCTCCCCGCAAGAGCAGCCATCCCAGGAAAACCAAAGGACAGAGTGCAAAGCGAATTCATGCCAATCTACTCTACATCTGAGGCGTCGTTGTCAGGGGGGAGGTAGTTGCTGCCTTTTACCCGGATGTATTGGACATGACGATTGTCGTTGGGTGAAGGATTTCCACAGGAGCAGAGCTGACCTGCGAACAGGTTCTCGATCTCTTCCAGCTGTAGGCCCTTTGTCTCTGGGAGGCAGCCCAGTACAAAGATTAGACCCAGCATGGCCAGGCCCGTGTACAAGAAGAATGCACCTGGAATACATGGATTTTGGGAATTAGGCTCAAAACTATGAAGTTCTTGGCTGTAAATTAAATTTGATAAAGTTATGTGTGAATTGTTTATTTAAATAGGGAAAAAAAACACCTAATAAACAAATGCAATTCCTCTAAATAACCTTAAAATAACCTTAAAAAGCTATGCACACTGCTCAGAAAACTTAAACACAGTATCAAGTTAAGCTTGCAGGATATTGATGTGGTCAGTTAAGTAGCAGAGGGGGTTATTCATCAATTTCAGCTTCTTTGGGGTTAATAAAATTAACATCAGGTGCACTAGAGGGGCAACAATGAAACGACCCCCAAAAGAGAATGGTATTAGGAATGGTTTTACAAGTAGAGACCACTGACATTTTTCCCTCCTCATCTTTTCTGACTGTTTTTTCACTTGTTTTGGATTTGGCTAGGGTCAGCATCACTACTGGCAGCATGAGATCATATCTGGACCCTCTAGAGGTTGCAAAAGGTAGTCTAGCTTCTCTAGGATGGCAAATCAATACGTGCTAATGCAGAAGGTTTGCTGTGTCTCACAGCACAGTCTCGAGAGCACAGAGGAGATTCCAGGAGTCAGGCAGTTACTCTAAAAGAGCTGGACAAGGCTGAGAAGGTCCTTCAGAGGACCCATCAGCAGGACCACTATTTGTTCCTGGCAGGATGGAAACT